GGGAACTAGCAGAAAGTGCAAACAAGAAGGAGGCAGTTTTCAGCTCCTTCAGCGTGGAGTAGAACACTCAGCTTTGAGCTTTTCCTGTTTCACTCGATTAACCTGCATACAATTTTACTCTTTTTTTTTTTTTTTAAGTTTTCTGTAGAAACCCAATAAAAAGGTCCAGGAGCATGCAGCTGGTTAATGTTAACAAAAGACCTTGACAGGATCATGTAAACCTTATTGGATGTCATGCTTGGGGCCTTACTGCCAGCAACATTAGAGAGATATTTCATTAAAAGTGAACACTGTACACTGAATATGGGATAACTTTTTGCAGCCTTCATAATCTCACACAGTAAATATAATTTAGATTTAGGTACAGAACACACTCTGGTGTCACAGCTGAGTATGTCCTTGTGCAATCTCTTTCATTAAGTCCTTATGAAGCTACAAGTTGCAAATCCAGAATTCTGCTCCCTGAGGACACAGCTATGTGAGACGTAGGTACTGTTTTAGTTCTCTGCCTGAATTGCTCTGTGAACCTAATCTTAAATACCATCATGTAACAATCACAAAAACTTTTGCTAAAGGCCATATATACTAATAAAAAGACAGTGGTGCTTCCAACATTTTGAAATGCTCTGAAAACCAACTTTTCCAATACTAAATACAACAAAATAACCTTCATAAAATATAACTTTTCTCCATTTACATTTTTAAAGGATTAGTAACCTATGCTTTTCAAGCACAGGAAATCTGCGAAATAACTCCTAACATGGACAGATTTTTTTTTTAACACATAAATTAAGAAACTGGAGAGTTTTAACCCAAGTCCAGTTTCCAAACAAGGAATATTCTTGTTTACTTTAAAAATGGAAATGATATGCATTTCCATTATAATTGTTAAAAAGTTAGCTTTACAAACAAGGGTATTTTAATTAAAAAAAAATTCTTAACAAAACTATACAGTGTACAAATTACTGTCTACAAGGTAGGCGGTTCATTCAGAAGATCCTCCTTTCTTCTCGCTACTTGCAGCTTCACAAATTCATTCACATATTTTCAATGGAGCTGCCCACCCGAACATCACCCCACAACTATATTGCTATAATTAATATTTTTGCCATGTCTTTATGTACAGTCTCCTTCACTGCCTTTTTCTTTTCCCTTAGTCAAGCCTCAGACGTTCATGTCACTCCCGGGGAAACACACTTCAGTGGCACAGCCATGAGGCCAGGGCTGCAAAGCAACTTAATCAAGGCAGAACAGTGCACATAGAACGGGGTGGCTCGATTTAGTCAGAATACACTTCCTGGTGAAGGAGGAGGCCAGAGACTGGATTTGAGTTCTCAGTCTTATCTTAATCTTTTGACTGCTGAGCTTGAAAAAAAAAGCACAACCCAAAACCAAACCTGCAATAAATGAAAAATTCATTTTCTTCCAAACAGGCTTTTCTGCTAGAGAGGCAGGTGGAAAAAACCCACAGTTGCTTAACAACCTAGTTCATTCACATGGAAGGAAGGAGTTTGCTTTTTAAAATCTTCCATCTTTAAATTCAATTTTTTCCATAGAGGGGGTCAGAAAAAAAAAAAAAAAAAAAAACTCTGTTGAGGGCATCCGTCTTCCTACAAGAGCAATCATCATTTTGACTATTGCACTTTGAAGCCTGAATTTGTTTCTGTTTCATCCTGGTGTGCTACTAAAATCTTACGGGGGACACCTTGCTGAGAGCACTGATCAAGGACAGCCTCCCAGCACACCCCTCTGCTGCCGAACTGCTCCCTATCAGCGGCGTGCAGAAACAACAACACGTACTTTGTTTTACCAGGCCAGAGCCTGAGGTGCGCTCTGGGCAGGTTGAACACATCTCAGTAATCTCGATAGCCATGTGCTCAGTGAACGAACACACTCATCACAGGGCTCAGAAAACAGACCAACACAGATTTGATTTCAGCTTTCTTCTGATATCTTAAATGTTTATGCAGGGTTTTTTTTTTTTTTTTTTTTCAGTTAAGCTATAGATAACCTCAAGGATTCACTTTTCTACAGCTGCTGCCTCTGCAGCCATTGAGGCTCTGCCTACAGAGGTACCGCCTGACAGGGACGTGGGGATTCTGGCTCCACCACAGCCAGAAGTGACTGACTTCGATGGCCACTGCTCATGGAGCTGCATCTCTGTGGCCGCTCCAGGGTCGGAAAACCTCCAAAATGCACAGACAACCGGGAAGGGATGAATTTTCCCACCAGGGTATCCCACATCTGCAAGTCTCTAGCCTCCTCAGTTTATGCCCTAATAAAAGGATTACTTTTAAGAAAAATTCACCCTGTGTTGTGCCATACACCACAAAGATCCCTGGTGCAAAAGAGGTCTCCAACAACAGGCCCACTGCTGATCTGCAAAATGTGATTTTACTGGAGATAGGTACACTTTTATTTACATCAAAGTCTAATTCCATGCATTGAGAACCTCCTTCCCGCCAACAGTCCAGAGCTCTCCATCTGACCTGCTGTACGAAAAGACACTGCAAACCTCTGGCACAGCCTGAGCAGGCTGAAAATTGTAATTCAGACGCTGTGAGTTAACAAACTTGGGGAAAAAAAGAAAAAAGAATGTTTTGATGAAGAGGGAAAAAAAAAAAGAGTATTTACCAGTCAAGTAGACTAAGGGAGGCAAATCCTCTGCAGAGCAACGGAAATATGCCAGCAAAGATTTTGGCCTTGTACGTGCATTTCCCAGACAAAACAACTGTCTTTGTCATTCTGAGCTAAAAACATTTTCTGTTGTGAACACTTTAGGATGCAGTAACTTTGCCAGAATGGAAAAGGCTTCATCTCACTGTGGGTCTCGACCCCTTTCTCTCTCCGTCTGTCTGTCTGTCTGTCTCTCTTTCTCAAGAATAAAAACGTTAAAGTAAAACAATTTTCTCAAGTCAAGTCTGCCTCCAACATAATTCATTATTTATTTTTTAAATCCAGAAATGATTTCAGCTTGCACCCCAGGTGGGAAGTTAAAAAGAGGGAACCGATTTGAAAGTTTGTCACAGTAGGCAGAACAGTCGCTTTGCAGCCCTTGCCTGGCTAAGGGTGCACTGCTTCACAGCTACACTGTAAAGTGTTAAAAATCCTCCCCACCCACCCCAGAATATATATATATGTATGTATAAAAAAAAATCCCCTGTCCACCTCTCAGTACAGAAAAGGACCTCATCACACTGCAAAAATAGCAGTACCCACTTTGGTCAATTAAAACAAACAAAAAAAGCATACATTATTTTTTTTTTCTTTTAAATCTGTGTACTTACCTATAATAACCAATACAGCTAAAAGCACTACCTACATAGGCAAAACTTGGTATTGCATAATTCGTATAAATTTGTATCCCCTCCCCCCAATATTAATTGGAAGATGAAAAACATGAAAGGTTAATAGAAAAAACACCAAAATACTGAAAATATTGCTGGTCGATTACAATTTTTAAGCGGCAACTATACACAGCCAAAATATGCTTTATAAATGTGAGATAAAAGTATAACTGTCTAAAAAATCCATGATGTCACACTTTTTTCCCATCTGGAGTACAAAATATTTTGTCATAAAAATGGTAAAGATTTAAAATTATAATAAATGCAGCAAAAGAAGTGTAGTGATGTATTTTTTTGTGTGGTTTTTTTTCTTTTTTTGTTTTTTTCTATTTTTTAGATTTCAAGGCAAGGCACGTAATGTGGACATAATATCTTCGTGCAAATTAGGATTACTGGAAAGAGTATTTTAATTATTTTTTTTAAAGAGACATAGAGGCAAAATGTCTGCCCATGCACATTATATTTCTGTCAATATGTGAAAATTGTTGAACAAGGCTAACTTCTGAAAGCACCATGCAAGTTTTCAGCACCCTGTAACTACTTACATTAAGAGTGCATTATTTAAATACAACATATCCCCATCCTGGTATTACCAGTTTGTAAACGGTAAGCATTGCCCTTTGTGACATGGATTTGCCTCTCTCTTTGTCTCTATGATGCAGATTTTACAGAAACATGTAAACCCTATGGGTTCTTGATGCAACCAGTAACTTTAAATAAATAAATCCTACCCCTCTGTGGAGGCAGCAGCTAAACCACATAAGTGCTGTGTTTCCATTGATTTCTTTTTCTCAAGGACATGATTTGTCTTGATTTAATGCCTTTTAATGCCCTCAAAAACTGAGGGGAAAAATAAGTTTGTTCAAAGTAATTTTTATTTCTATATTTAATCCCCTCAATTTAGAGTCCAAGGGCTGAAGGACTTATAGTGATGACCCCTTAGATACGATTTTTAAATTGCACTTGCCTCTGTAAGTGTTTCTTTAGTGGGGAAAACGTTCACTTTTTTCCTTTTCTTTTTTACTGTTGCATGAGGAGATAACACTTATACCTACATAGAGGCATTTCTTCCATAGAGCCTGTGTGTTCATACTGATTGAAAACTTCAAACTGTATAACACACTAGAAAAGGCTGAATTAAGGGCCAAAGTTTAATAAATCCATACTGATAACTAAAGGCTACAGAGCTTATTTTTAAAACATTTAGAAATCAGAGTGTTGAGAAAATGGCTGGCTCACAGCCCTTGTCCTCCTGCAGCTCTGTTGCTGCTGCCTAGCCTTTGTTTTGTGAGATAACCAGGAATAGTGATCCCATGCGTAAACAACAAGAATACTAAACCAATAAAACTAGCTTATCATGCAAATATTAAGGCATCTAGAAAGTCAGTTAAAATATATTGTCAGAGACAGAACATCTATTTCCCAGCGGACTTCATATAACAAAGGCTACTTAGCAGGGGCTGCATTCTATCCTCAGTGAAATATCATCGACCCTTTTGTATGTCATTTCAGTTTCAACCATAAGGGAATTAGTGATTGTAAGAGTTGCAATTGCTGGTCTATTTCTTCTTCTTTCTTCAGTTTCTTTTCTCGTCCTCTCTTCTCTTCTTTTTTTCTAATTTTGCTTTTCTTTTTTCTTTTTTATTTTTTCCCTCAGTTGCTTGTTTCTGCTTGAAGGAAAGGCTCTCCAATTATGTTCAAACCATAATTTTGGACATTTGTTGGCAGGATCGGTGTCCTGTTTGATACTTGAAAAGGAACCAAGCTAGCCCAGGTACCAGGACTGTTAAAAAGGGGAAAGAGAGAGAAAGAGAGAGAAAAAACAAAACATAAATTAAACATGTTGCAAAAACTAGAACACAATGAATTTGAATCAGGGTTAAGTCAATATTCACTATTAATAGCATCACTTAAGATAAAATAAGAAACCAAATTTGTGAATATTACTTGAGATCTACTTTACAGTTTTCTTTGGGAAAGTATGATTATCTGAAAGAAAACTAATTGCGCTGATCTCAGTTGCAAATAGTATTACTGCTGTCTTACACTATCTGGCCTGTTTACAAAAGCCCTCCAAAATTTCACATGCAAATTTACAGAGCAGACACAACTAAACCCTACAAGTGACCCTATATAGCACCACAGATGTTATGTAAGAACTACTGAAATACACTATAGCGAACAGGTTTGTTCTTTTCAAGAACACAATATAAAGGTTCAGTGGTTAAGCTTCCTGAGCGATTTGCTATGCTCTTAAACTCTCAGTCCCAAGATGTGCCTCTGAGGTGTGTTGGTCCCCATGAGAACAGAGGACCTTTAATATTCAAAGAACCTGCTTTCTTTACGGATTTTTCCCAAAAGGTATCAGTGCCCAAGTAACACTGGATAACACAGTGACCAATCAAGCAAACACTTGCAGCCAAGGGTAACCATGAGTCAAGGGTAGCAGCAAGTACCATAAATTTTTCAACAAACTTCTGAGAAAGAAAATATTTTCAAAGGCAATTCAATGACTCTGGAACTTAAGTCATCATCTCAAAAGCACTCTCACCAAGCAGCTAAAGTCCCAAAGGCATTTACATGTTTACCAGGAACCAACTAGTAGCAGGTACTGTACCCAACAGTACTTGCAAGTTGGATACTCAAAGAAAGACCTCAGTTGTCTCTATTCAGTACCCAGAGCAGACCTTGAGCAGGCTTTTCCTTAATCGTGTTTCTGGCAAGCCAGAAATAATGGACTTTCGAGATAGTCTTGTCAAATTCTTTCAGAAGAACAACAGCATCATTATATGAGCAGCCATTGCCAAACAACTAACACCAGAACTGGACACACAGCGTGCAAAGACACATTTCCTCCACATCTCATCGTATCGAGTTTTTCTCCGCACTAGGCGTTTCCACAAACACGACAGCTTACTTGGGAATACACATTGGGATTAGACTCATAGGCTTTATGGTAACACATCTGAAGACTAAAACCTCCAACACGTTTTCTGGACCACGGATGCTGGAGGTTTTCTTCCCTGTCTTTGGTCACCCCTCCGCATTGCTATCTCTTTGGATGAGTAAACGCATTTCTTTGGCCTCGGGTGTAAAGAGGAAAACAGACCCTTTTATCTATCTTAAATGTGTACAAAATAACTACATTTCACTTAGCAGATTTATGTGATCCTTTCAGTTGCTGCTGTATGAACATTAAAGAAAGAGATCAGCTTATGTAATGAAATCGAGGGGACATGTTCCTTAGCTCTTTTATACCAAAAATCATGCAAACATCTTCTGTCTTTTACTCCTGTTTGATACTCTTTACCTCTCTAAACCTGGTAATTTACTATTTTGATTCCTAACAACTAATTTCAGGTGTTCTATTTTACACACAAAAAAAGTGGAAAAAATTGCTGACCTGCTTTGTCCCAATGATGGTCAAATTCTCAAGGGAGCAGTACTATTATTTTTCCTCAAAGAAATATAAGAAAAATGAACAACCTAATGTATTTTAAATGTGTGAAGTACAAGTATTATTCAATAGGGTTGTGTTTTTTTCCAGTTGGGTATGTTCTTGAAGGTTATCTGAAAAGCTCAGGAATTTTAACCTCTTCAGAAACTAAAAAAATCTCGATATATTTTCAAAATCTAAGATCAAGCAATATTTTCAATTAAATATTTTTCTTTCTTTTTTAAAATTCTGTTGACTATTATGTATAAAATAATTTCATTTTTTGGAGAAATAACCCTTTTGTAATTAAAAAATCACAGTTATACTGCAATTCCTGAAATATTCACACAGACATAAACCCAGTTCTGCCTGAAAGACCTGTCCAATATGATCTGATGAAAAGATTACGTTTAAAAAAAAAATTCTATACCGGAACCTCATTTAAGAGGCTTAATTATTTCAACTTATTCTTCATCTTCCTTCACAATTTGTCTTAAAATGCATTTTTTGTTCCTTCCTCTCAGATTTCAGTGATATTAAGAAGTAAATTCTGAAATAACAGAAAAAGTGCAAATTGCTTCCAAGCACAGTGATGTGTAAAAATAGGAACTAGCAATAAAAAATAAAAATAAAAAAACTAAGCAGATTTGTTTGCTCAGGATCTGTCTGAATATATGTTTTACAGTGCATAGTTCTTTGCTGTCCTGTTACACAGGATTTACAGTGTTTAGCGACTTTAAACAAAATAGAACACTAACTAAAAGAATGTAAATTTTGTGTGAGGTCAATATGTATTTAAACAATCTCTGTTGCAAAGGTTAAGTACACAGCTTCCAGGTTATCTTTCTGAAGATTTACAGTGCACTTCAGTGGTAGGATACATATACATGTGAGCTTTTTGTTTTAAAGTTGACAACCTTCTAATGGCTACGGTGTGTAAAGGAAAGCAGTCAGCACTGATAAAGAACAGATTACTATTTATAGCAGCTTTCTTATCTACTACTTCATATAGAGGGCAGAGATCTTAATTTTGTGGAAAGTTCTCAATAAAAATAAGCTGTAGCAAGTGACTAGTGGGACTGTTGGTGCCATATGATCTAGAGATCTGATGCAGGTGTTTACTGAAACCTCGCAAGCCTCCCACCTTACATTACTACCGCGACAAAAGCGCAGATTGCAGCAAAGTCATCGGTGCTGCGTACGAACCCTCAAGGAGCAACAGATGTCCTGTGCTAACGCTGCGCAGATCCCACCAGAGCACCAGTGGCACCAGGACAGCCACAGGCCCCCTTCAACCCGGTGGCTCTGAAGGTGAGGTGAAGCCCCCCGATCTGCACGCACCCACTGGGCAGCCGTGAGGGATGGGCCATCCCCTTGCTTTGCTAGCCCCTCCGAAGCCATGATCTTCCAGGGCTGACGAGCTCCATTTGTATTTCAGAAACAAACCTTCTTGTGCTGCCCTCTGATGTAACTCCATCTCAGGCCACCCCAGCCCTGACACCAGCGCCAAGTGTTTATTGCAGACAAAAGCAGAAACCTGAATGAAAGTTACTGAGGTGAATAGCACTAACCACCACACAAAGCTCTGACAGCAGCTATGATACAAAGAATATCCAGAATAACAACTCAGGCTTTGCTAAGCTGCATATGTATGGCTATCTAGCCAGCACTCCCACATTCCGCATTACATTTACAGTATATTTGATTGAACTTTCAGCTACCATATGAGCCACACCCTGCTTTGTAGCTCCTCCGTGCTCCTGCATGCAGCCAAGCCAGACTGACAGCCCAGAAGAGCAATGCCCCCCATCAGCATTCTCAAATCGGTTCCGAAGGGACCTCTGTGAGCATCCCAGAGTTTAGCTTCTGCCATGGAAACCATCTATGGTTTCTCTGCAGAGTGTCCCAGCAGAAGCGCCAGGTACTGCTGATCGCAAAGCAAACTCTTCCCAGGGGCCCACACAGGTGGCAACAGCAGGAAAAGGAGACAACACCCTTCCCTTCACCACGTTATCCAGCAGTTTGAGTAAGTCCCAGGCAAACCTGCAGCCCTCAGTTTCACAAAAGCGGAGGCAATGCTCTGTCTCTGTTCATGAAGTGCCTCAACACTGGGGAAGCCAAAACTGTTGCCACTGCCCAGGACACAGGCGAGCCACTTGTCCTTGCAGAAGAAGTTAAAGAGGTGTCCCTCTGCCCATGCGGCTTCTCCTCCTAATAAAAAAGCTTTGTACACATGAGTGGAGTAAAGCAGGTCTACCCTACTCTCCAGCTCACTGCTCCTGAGGGAATCGGAGCCCCACGCTGACACAGGTTATAGTATAAACGCCTGTTCCTTGGAATACAAAGTCAGACCTCCAAAACACTACTCTAAGCTAAGTTTTGAAGAAAATTATATGAGAAGCACCATCAGATATTGCTGTGAGATTCAGACAGTATGATTTGCAGGATCATCTTCCTTAAAGCTTTATACCTCTACGAGAAACAATTTCACTACCAGAAACGATTTTCTCTCCCCATAACTAGACAATCATGTGTGTTATACACTAATCAGTTCCCTCTCTATCCATGGCAAGTATAATGTATTTATCTGTACAAATGTAATAAAATAGCAAAGGAAAATTCTGCAAGCATCCTACAGGGTTAACATTCTCCATTACAGTTTCCATTACAGTTTTCACATGTTAATTCAACCATGATTTCTGCCATGATTATCTCTTAAAGTTAGTAATTGCTATTTCAAGAACCTCTGATTAAAATATTACTGGAATGGACCACAAGCAGTACTAACATTATGTGTATATACAGTCCGCTTTGGAGGTTGTAATAACATAAAGAGTATAATTATGTTAAAAAATTAACTAAATACAATAAAAAATAAATCCAATCAGACCTGGGTAAATCTGAAGGATTTTAAGAGTCCTGTTTTCCAACAGTTACTATCTTACTTCCATCACTCTTCAGAAGTCTGTAAGAGTATTTAACCGTTCAGAAAGTACACCTGAACAGTATTTTCTTCTTGCAGCTTTACTATTCTGTGCATGAACACATTAGCTTAGACAAGGTAGATCAGATCATGCCATTGGACAGAAAAGGCAGAAACGGTTTGCTGTCCAGAGAAGTGGCACTAGCGAGCCGCCAAGCAAGGTTTGTCTGTCTCTGCACTAAGCAAGCGCTTGCCCACACAAGTACAGGGAACATCACCTTTTAAAGCTGTTACGATGGTATGAACTTTGGAAACGCAAGCGTGCTAACCTCAGTGCCCTGGCTAAATTCCCACTTGTGTATTTCCGCCAAAAGAATAACCACCCCTCTGGCATCTACTTGATGTGGTACTTCTGTTGCCACTC